ATAAACTCATTTCCGCTAGAGGTGAACCGATTTAACATTTTCAGACAAAAAGAAATTGATATTGGCCAAAATTGAAATGGGCAGGTCAGGCTTTTTAAATGACGGACAGTAACTGGTTAGTTCAGAAAACTACAATCAGTGCACTCCTAGTTTCCACTGCGCATGTTAAGGTATATTTGATGTTTCAACAACCAAACTAACCAGTTGTAGTCTTCATCATGCTGAACTACACTTGATTTACTCTTCTCAATCTCTGTGAGAAGAAAGCATCTCTCATGTGGACGGTCAAATTACCACTATCAAACTAAAAACTTTTGCAGCCCTTAGCTGCTGCATTTCTATCTATGCTTTGGCTACGTCAAACAAAAAGGGTTGCTCTTGGCGTGGACTTTCATGTGACGCACCAAGTGGTCCCTTCTACTCAGGGATTTCCCGCAGACGCCGCAGGGAAACCCCTTTATGCCCGAGTGGATCGACTCGTGTCGCTTCAGTCTCGATAACTGACTGAATTGTTTCCCGCAGGTCTTGCAGACGAGCGGATTGTGACTCTTGGCGTGGTGCAAGAAGCAACGGTATTGTGTGAAGCATTTCCCGCATGCTTGGCAGGAATAGAGCTTCTTGGCCGCCCGGATGGCCCTCTGCTTGATGGCGGGCTGCGACGGGACTCGCGGTTCGGCCAAGTGGGATTTCATGTGGCCCAGCAGGTAGTCCCTTCGACTGAAGGACTTCCCGCACGCGCCGCAGGCAAACGGCTTCTCGCCCGTGTGGACTCTCGCGTGTCGCTTCAGGATGTAGGGGCTGCTGAAGCGTTTCCCACACGTGTTGCAGAGGAGTCGCTCAACCTCAGCGCCAGTCGAGAAGCTGGCGTGTGGGCCGAGCGGTTTTCCACCAGAGCCGTTGGTTTTCTTGTGGTGGATCAGCTGGCAGTTCTGGCTGAACGACTTCTTACCAACGCCGCACCTCAACTTGTTTTTGCGCATGTGGGTGCTCACGTGTCGAATCAGTCTGGATCTAAACTGAAAGGTTTTCTCACAAAAGCCACACCCAAAATACTGTGTGCCCGCATCAACCGTAGAGCCTGACACCAGAGGGAGGTCTGTGTTTATATCATCCGCATGTGCACCTTCGCTTCCTTCGTAAGATTCCTCCTTAGGTACAAACAGGGAGAGAGGCTGGATCCGGTCACCTACGCTGGTTCGAAGAAAATTGATTTGTGGAGGTTCTGGTTCGTCCTTGACTCCAGGGCAGATGCTGTCCTGGTCACAGAGCAGCTGGTCAGTGGGAGCGTCCTCCTCCATGTAGGGCCATTGCCGTGGGAGGTCTGCAGCAACAAAAAGACAAAGTAACTGAAGGGCAGAGGAGAATGTGGTAGAAAGGAGTAGTTTCCATTTAAGAATCTTGTCAAATGAAGGACAAGAATAATCTGATACTTTACATTTTCAAGACTTGGATTTTGAAAGTCCTCATCAGGACCACTGCTGCCATTCTGAGCAGGAAACTGGCGTCACATTTTTTTAGGAAAAACCAGCAATGCTCTGGTTAGAGATGCATCCATCCGATATTAATATCTGTATTGGTCCTGATATCAAAGAAAATCTAGATTGTGTATCGGTAACAATGTGCCCGATCCATAATGGCAAATCTATTCAGTCTAACTCTATGCTTTGTGCCCAGATTGACCTCATTCTTTATTATCTATTTAAAATTCCTAATTGCACTTTCTGAACCATTTGAAAGAAGGGTTGTTGCAGTTTATTTTCACATATTGTAGGTAGTCAACTTGATGTCAGATTCAGTTTCTAATAACTATAGTAATAATGATAATAATAATAATAATAATAATAATAATACTAAAACCCAAGCATTTATAACAAGAACATTCTGAATATTCTCAATGTGACCGGATAGAATTGGAAATAAAAGAAAAATAGGTCTAAGGTCATCAGAGTGCAACAAATATCCTTCAAATATACCTTTTAATTCAAATATAACAACAGAGACTAACTCTAA